GAACTCTGGACCAAAATATACTACATTTGCATGTAGCCAATAGAATCTCTCTCTCTATCTCTCTGTCTATAGGCCTATAGCCTTGCTTCCTACTACAGGGAAGTCAAAGATACACACACACACACACACACAGTATCTGGTTCAGCTGAAATGAGATTTTCATTAACCTCAACACCAGCACGAAATACATTTCTGCAATAAGTGTAAGTAACAATTTGACAATTGTCAAAGAAAAAGAAAGTATAAGGTTTAGATTGATTTTCGTCTCTCTTGCTCTACTAAACTGGTTGGCTATTTTACAAAAGACACACTCAGTTGTTTTCTGTTGTTTGTGAATTTCTGCTTTTGCCAACTAAACGTGTGGACTTTTTTTTGGTAGTGTTTTCCATCATTTTAAACACCTGTATTTCTCTTCCACATGCTTTTCAGTGATACTCGGTTAGAAGAAGGAAATTCAAATCACTCAGTCATTGCCAAAAGCTTGAAGAATCCGTCTTTACACAAGCTACATTTTGAGATTTTTAACTTATCTCACTCATCTCACTCACTTTGACTCAAGAGTCTCAAAGGACCAGTCTTTCTACTGCTGCAGAGAGCTGAGTAAGTGACCAATATCTGAAAATGTGTTGTATCAAAATAATGAAAATAACTGTGTACTTTCACTTTTTTAAATGCCCCTATATGGTTCTTTTTGTTTTGACATGTTACTGTTTTTTATTGTATATTTCATACCAGTGTTTGGGAAAGTTACTTTTAAAAGTAATGCATTACAATATTGCGTTACTCCAAATTACGTTAATTACGTTACTTCATTACTTTTTATGGAAAGTAATGCGTTGCGTTACTTTTTAAATCTGCGCTTGCTTGTCTTGCTTGTTTGTTTTTAAAATAAAAAAAGTTCTATTTTTGGCAAATATAAAAGCCTTTTCACACCAAAAGTGAAATGAATAAGCCTCAGGCTGAAGGAAATGTAAATTTACGTCCGTACAGTAGAATGCAGAAGAAGACATTTCAACACACTTCAGCAATAAAAAAAGACACACAAATGTTTTTCTAGAGTAATTTTTGCTTATTAGTACGGTTGAACTGGATCATCGAAGGTCAGAAACAAAGACATTGGTTAATAGAATGGGATTAAATACATAAAGGATATTTGTGCAGGTTTGCGTCATATTCTGAGTTGCATTATTTTTATTCATTTTGAGGAATACTGGATCTGTGTTTTTTTTTTTTTGTGTGAGTGAGATGCATTAATGCATATTCATATTTATTTTAGAACTACAGTAACATCTTCTGATTTCTCTCAACACTGTGAGTATAACTTACTTATTTGAAAAAGTAACTCAGATATTCTCTTGTAAATTAAAAAGTAATGCGTTACTTTACTAGTTACTTGAAAAAAGTAATCTGATTACGTAACTCGCGATACTTGTAATGCCGTACCCCCAACACTGCTGATCTTCTATGCAATTAAAATGACACCATGCAGAGACTAAAAATTAATTTATGTCTTTTGCTAAACATCCCATTTGGTTTAGAAATAAATTAGCTGTTATATATAGGAATAAAGTTTCTGTGTGATTGCCCGCAGAAATGTTAAACGTTACTGAGAATTGAACTGCCACAACGCAGTAATTTCCCCATATCTGAACTATACCACGTGGGTGAAAGTACACCCCGATATGGATACATCTTATTAAAAAATATAATCAGCTAAACCCTTTGATTTTCTCCAAAAAAGCACACACTTTGTGCTCAAAAAGAGGCTAAAGTTCAAATAAAATACCATTTCCAAAAAATCACAAATTAAAAATATATTTTCAATTTTCGAAAAACACACACACACACACACACACACACACACACAGAGTTTCATTTTCTGTGAAAATTATGAAAATATGAAATACACTTAGAACATGATTAAAATATTTAAGTAGTTGATTTTCATCTATCAAAGGTTTATATATATATATATATACATTTTTGTAAAGGGTTTTGTAAAGTCATAATTTTGTTATAATTTAGTAGTTTTGATCTGTTTGCTATTTACAGTAGTTACGGTGTTATATTATTTTCATAGTGTGAATTTTGGTGAATTCTATTAAACCCAGTTAGTTAATTATGATAATGGGACCTTCAGAAAAACATTCAAAAATGCATTGTCCCTGTTTTTCAATTGACAGATAATAATGTGTTAATGTATGATTTCAGCTGTTGTTTTTCTTTATTAATTTTAGATCACTCTGGATTGAGATATGTCAGAGATAAACCTTGAGCTCTAAAGGGCATGCAACTCAATGAAGATTTGTGTATTGTTAAACAGAGAAGAGAGCCTTGGATCTTCTGGATCTTTCTTCAGGTGAGAAAGTCCTGCATAATAGCTCTGTATTTCCACGCCAAGTTGTAATATTTTTTTTAAAATATGTACTGACAAGCACATCGACACACACTTAAGCAATATCACTCAAACAGGAGTAATGTAAAGGTGTCTTTACAGAGCTGAGTTAAGGCTGCTTTGTGGCTGCTCAAAAATCTCTATATAGGTGCAATGCAGCATAAAAGGCAGACTTATTTGATCCTATATATATACATGTGCATATTTACGATTTGTAATGTCTGTTTACAGGTTGGAACAAATATCATTCAGTATTTGGAGGAGGAGCAGCAGAGGCGATTCCCTCATGTCCTGCAGTTTTGGGATAAAATCAAGCCTTTGTTATTGTGGGAGACCGTCTTTTATAAGCAGTTGATATATGCTTTATATTATTGTACAGTTTGGACACTGAGTATCCCATGCCCATGTCTCTACACAGCACACAATCCTCTATATTCTGTTCCATTAACACATTTTCACCTATTTAGACAGTTTATAATTGCATTGTCTGTACTAGCTTTTTTCTGTTTGTTTGTTTATTTGTCATTTTTGGTAAATTGAAACACAATTTGATTATGCAGTAAATAATTGCACCATAACTTAATTTAATAGTAGTGTTTGCAACTTTAAATGTAATATAAATAAAACATTTTCAATATATTTGTAAGCTGTATGTTGTTATGTAGCAGCAGCAATAATAATGATAATGCCAACATTTTGGCCAAATAACCCAACAAATTAGTTGTTCTATAACCCAATTTATTGGGTAAAACTTACTACCCAATGCATTGGGTTAAAATAACCCTACAAGAGGTTGGTGCTATATAGATAATGGTATTATCTCTTACATATGTTACTGCTCAAATGCCAGTTTTACTGCGTAATGAGGTTCGGCTGATTTGATTTGGTGTGTATGTCCTCCAAGCCTGCGGGCGTGTATATTTATTATGTATATATAAATACAAACACATGCATGTATATATTTAAGAAAAATATGCTATGTTTATATATTAAATATATATATATTAAATATAATATAATAATATAAATATATAATGTATGTACATGTAAATATTAAAAAATATATATACTGTATGTTTTTGTATTTATATGTACATAATAAATAAACATTGTACACATACATATAATATGTAAACAAACTTATTTTGGATGCGATTAATCGCGATTAATCGTTTGACAGTACTAGTTTTTAAATGATGAGAAAGCATTTCTGTTGTGGCAGGAGGGGAAAAAAAGGACTGATTAAACACCGTGTCTATGTGAAAATGTTTGCTGCAGTAGCATGCAGCACACTGTAAATTTAATCACATTAATCAATTTACATTTCTTTCTACAGGTGACTGGGGCTTGTTGTCTTTTCTTGGCTGGTAAAGTGGAAGAAACCCCCAAGAAGTGTAAAGACATCATTAAAACGACTCGCAGTCTGCTCAATGACGTGCAGTTTGCACAGTTTGGAGATGATCCAAAGGTTCGCAACCCATTCAACACACAAATTCTCATGCTTGTGATGATCCTGCTGTGTTAAACATCGCTGTGTTTCATGGAATGACTCCACAGGAAGAGGTCATGGTCTTGGAAAGAATTTTACTTCAGACAATCAAGTTTGATTTACAAGTTGAGCACCCCTACCAGTTTCTGCTGCGCTATGCTAAACAGCTCAAAGGTATTACTAGGTTTAAGACCGAGTTTAAAGTTTCATTTTGAATTTAAGAAATGTCGATTCAAGTTGATTTCTTTCGTAGTGCTGCTTTTTGATGTTGCTCATCTCATTGATTAATTTTACAGGTGACAAGAACAAAGTTCAGAAGCTTGTGCAGATGGCTTGGACCTTTGTGAATGATAGGTTCGATTGACTTTATTTATTTATGTATTTATTTATTACCAACAATGATACTGTATTTAAACTTTTTTGTATATAAAAAAACTAAAAGTTCAGCTATTGCCATGCATCCATATCAGTGTTACTATAGTTAACTAAAACTAAACCCATAAAAAAATGTTTTACTTAAAAATAAACATTAACTAAAATAAAATAAAATAATTAAAAAAATTTCAAATTATTTTATTTCAGCGAATTGAGCTAATTTTCATTTAGTTTAACTTGATGTACTAAAATATTTAGTTAACCTTGACCATATAGACATTAAAAACTTAAACAAAAAAAAAATGACAAACACAACAGATTTATCAGAATTTTAACTAAAATTGAAATGAAAACAGAA